GGACGATGCGGTCATCGTCGCGGTGAATGCCACTTTTTTCCCTGCCCCAACGATCTGCAGATTGTAGTCGCCAAGAAGGATTGCCAATAGAAGCAATGCCACAGCGCCAACTTTCATCTTAAAAAGAACACACAGACTTAAACATTGAAAAACAAATAGGTGCTGATTTGTGAAGTCTGCGTTATAATTATCATTAATTTATTCAGGCAAATTCAAAATATACAACACGCAATATGGACACAATAAAATTATATCCAAAATATAATATAACAAGAGGATCAATACAGATGGAAAAAGGAGGCACACAAACAGTCAATCAATATAAAAGACGACGACTGATCAAGCAAGAGACAGACAAGACGAGAAAAAACGAGGACAGTGCAGGACTGCCTTGGAGAAAAACAAGGGTAAAAAATTCACTTTCGCCTAAAGGGCGTGCCACTCCCAGGACTGCGTGTTAGTTAACATGAGGGAATGGAGGAATTGGATGGTTTGCGGAATGGAATAAGCCCAGTATCCCAAGCACATTTAAATTTAATAGCCGAGTCCGTACACAGTTAATTAAGCGGTGTAAGCCGCTACGGAGTTAACGTCAAGCTGAAGTACTGTACAACAATTGCATACAGAAACATATGCATGTAAAGCAAACGAATCCGACGTCAGTTTTTCAAAGTCATAACCACCACTCAGAAATCACAATTAAAAGCCTTCAGGTCAGCCACTTTCATTTTCAAGGCATACGACCAAATCCCACAACATTAGGTACCTCTAGTAATGCTGCTACAGGTTGCTAGAGAAAAGCGAGCCAGGCCCTTTTTTCAATGTATCACCCAGTTTGGCAACCTCATAGATATTGACAACATGTGCGTGAAGATATTCATTGATTGAGACAATTCCAGATTCTTTTTATAGGCATAGATACTCTGACTTTTAATATTATTAAGTTGGACAACAAATAGTGTTACATGTAATAAAACGTTAATTAAACGTTAGTAAACTCACCTTGACTTGTTTTCTCAAACTCCAAGACGAAATACCGCGGCCCAAAGATTCAGTACAAGCTGCAATAGATGTCAAAGGAACGAGGTCCAAATGTTTACATCCATTAGGGTTTAATGGAAACGGAGGGGAGAAAAAAAATCAGGGTTTGAAATTAGCCATTACAATTATGATGTCTTCTACCACTGTGCATTGGTAAGCCACAGTAGGCACATGGAATTGCTGTTAGTGTTGCTCGATATTTTGAATTTTATCTGGCAAGTTACGGTTAGAGAGATTCAAAAGGCTCTGTAGAGGGGCAGAACGTGTCAAGTTTCCGTGAGTTTACGCATAGTACGAGTATTGCTTTATTTTCTTAGTTTCTCAGCCTTTTACCTTAATGATGACCCGGCCCTTGCAGTGGTTCGCTTATGTTGTCGACCGACGGTAACAGCGCGCTGCTTGTAGTGGTTGTGAGGAGGGAAGAGGGAAGCTTTTTTTACATCTATTAATTTTCCTGGGCGGTGACGTGGGTACTGACACGATTTACGATTGGTCTCTGCGCGCTGTCACTCACGCACGTCACAAGCTCTCTTTAATTCTAGGGAAGTTACGCTGGAATATTGCATTATGTTAGCAAACGATCAATACTTTGCGAATAGGTGGTGTATCCACTTGTATGGCCTTCTCAGATATAGCTGGAGTTCAGTTTTAGTGCGAGTGCGCCGTCATCTTTTTATGTGAAAATGCATCTAAGCATTTGGGGTGGTATTTTATAATTGGAGCTACTCTCGATCGAAACGGGAGGAATTAAAATATTCCAACAGGGAAAATCCGTGTTCATCACGCCAAGTCTGAGAATTTATCTCATGAAAGCGCACTCTTCCAATTAAAAAAAACACACCTGAAACAAAGTAAAGGAAAGCAAAAAATAATAATAGATGGTTCAATAGAGGCCAAATATGTCACGTTACATCCAAGCTGAGTCGCATACATTATCAGAATTTATCTAACCCATCCACCAAGGAAATTAGGCGTGTAGCTGAGCGCTCATGTGTGCACACGTAAAAACAATTTACTGGATATATAATGCACGGTAAAATGTTGCAAGTCAAAGTGTGACACTTTTCTACGCCACAAACTAACCCATTTCCAAGTCAGTTTAACCCAGAAGGAATCTAGCCATGCTAGGTCTCGGATGTCAGGACAGAATCTTATCGGTAAGGATAATGTAGATTAAGGATGATTCCTCGAAACTTCACTCGCGCGTACTTATTCTAAACTTACCTAGGCGTCGAGTGTGTGGATGAATCTGAACAAAACTACCGAGGACTGCTTGTCTGAAAACTGAACCTATTTCCTTTGCACATGTAGGGAGTTTTGGGGGAAAAAAGCATTTGTTAAGCATGTGTGTGCTACAAGAAGTCATCTTGAAGTAGCTACTTTCAGTTGATGACGTCATCATGATGTCGCTTCAATAGTTAGGAGCTTAGGATTGGTAGACTAAGTATCCTTCTTGTTGACCAATCTTCCTCAGTTTGTAAATTTGCCTTGGCAGCAAAAAGAGGTGCGAGTTTAATTATTATTTTCTCTCAGGTTTTCTGGTTTTGTTTAGTTTTTCTTCTTCAGAAAATTTCATTACATTGTTTTTACCATATTCCAATTTAAGTGGAATTTTTAGTGCTCTGTAGAAAGACTTAATAATCGTATCTGTTCCTGTGCTCGCGAGATCGTCGTTTCTTAGTATGGTCCCTTTCACCATAAGAGTATAGATTACATTTTTAGTGCTCTTGGAGCCAACCTGAAGAAAAAAATTAACAATGTCAGAAAACCTGAGAGAAAATGACTATTAAAGTCGCATCTCTGTGAAAACGTCTATGAAGAAATATTAATGACGTCATACATAATGACGACACAAAGTTTTCAAACAACCCACACATCAACTTTGTCTACCCATGGTCTTGCTAATAGAATTTTAAAAAGCCGTTTTATGAAAAAATCAAGCATTGCAAAATATTTTTTTAAAAGTAAATGAAAAAAAAAAGTAAATGAAAAATCTTGAGACATAAGTGATGACGTGTCATGACGGTACACCAACTATTGATAAGTGTTTGTCTCAAGTTTCAACCCAATCCCTCGCATGGTTCGTAGATACAGGCTTGCGAGGAATTTGCCTTTGCGGTCGTGCCAGGTAATACGTAATAATATCTTAACGTCATGCTTCTAGCAAGTTTAATTGTACCAACTGTGGGGAGAACAGCTTTGTCCAATCATAGAGAAAGGACACACAGGAGTTTGAACTGCCCGGGCTATTACCGCTATGAAATTCTAGCATGCCTAGGGTCCTTAGCCAGAGCGCAGCGAGTGCTTGCTATGCACCATCCGCTTCACAACCACGAGACCCCTTCGATCGCCGCTGCAATTTTTCGCTGGTAAACCGCATCCTTAAAACTGTGTTAACTGAAGTAAAGGAAATTGAATGTTCATGCATTATTGGTGCTAGGTATGATCTCACCACAACATTGAATTTAGTGCTTGCCCAGTTGCTTGTGTTAGGCCGTGTGCCCTAAATGTTCACGTGCAGTTATTGCCCCTCTGGAAGGCTTTTTTCTAGAGTTGCTGTTAGAATAAATGGTCAAGTTGTTTATGAGATTTGGTGTATTATTTGAATAATTGTTATTATGTCATTTCTACAAAAGAGTATTTTACGAGATCTAATGACCACTCCCTGTGATGAAATAGAACATTTTGTTCCTTTTGAACTTCGCTCTCCAAAAGTGGTCAACATTTTGTCGGCCAGTCTTAGCTAAATTCGTACCAAGTCTTTGAAAACTGAAGTACTGGAAGGAGAACAAAATTACAAACTTTGCATGGATAATAGAAGAGTACAAGAATAAAAAACGTTTATTAACATCAGGGACTTTTTCTATTTCCCAGTCACAGCAAAAATCTTTGTAGGCACAACATTACTGGCATTTGCTCGGATATTACTGGCCCCGTCTGTCCAGCTAAGCAGCAGGCAGTAATCCGGCATTTTGGAATGCTTTCTATTATTCGTTTGACTCTGCGCTGCGGCGACGATCATTGACCACTTTGAAGTGCCAGAGTTGCAACTCCTTCTGTGCCATTCCTCTGCGGTTCAATAGAATGTCTATTGGAAGTTGTTTCCGCTGCTTTCCTCTCCCGTCTTCAAAATAAATATTCCAACCAAAGCCTCCGTTATATTGTTTTTCAAAGTTCAATTTATTTTTGTAAAACCGTAAAGTCAAAGAAATGGTTATCAGGTTAAAGAAATCAGCGATATTATTGAAATCACTATAATCACTTTAAATCCATGCCAAGTATGTCTCCCCAATAAGAGCAAATAAACCGTAACCACAACACCAGTACTGAAGGAATGATAATATTGAATGATTTGGCAAATTTTTCACCACCACGTTACAAGTTTAAAGCAAATCTCTGTGAGCTCTATAGATGTAAATTTCAGATATGAAAGGCGAAATGATACACTTCATGTATACCATCACTACAGCTAGGTAATGCCGAATATTAAATTATGTCTGTTGGGCTCTTAGGCGGAACGGGTGTAACCATGGCAAATCGGTTAAGGCGTAAGTCCAGTGCTTTTTGCTCTTCTTTTTTCAACTTTTTTGATTTATTTCTAAGATTATTATCAGTAAAGGAAGAAGCCGCTAAATGAGGTTTCATGATCATCGCTGCCGTGAGCTCTGCCTTTACAGGTTACATATACCTCCTCGTTTTTGGACAGGGTCACTACCACACTGCCAGACACCTGTTCACTGACCCCTACACCGGTGGAACGACCGCTAGCTACCTGCTCCACCTTGCCCGACTTCCTCTTAGACAGTCCAGCATCAAGAGATGGGGAGGAATTCGACTTGCACACAGAAAAGAAGAACACGTAAGTGCCCTTCTTCGTGCAGGTGAATTTCCCTGTTTGCGCGTTAAAGTTCCCGTTTATATTCGTCACGACCTCCTGGAACTTCAGAATCCTGGCATCGGCGTGGGCGGTGCCTGACGGTGCAGTCATAGTAGCGGTGAAAGCTGGTTTTGGACCAGCTGCGACGCCTCGGAGATTGTAGTCGCCAAGAAGAATTGCCATTAGAAGGATATAAACAGCTCCAATTTTCATCCTGAATAGAAAACAAAGACTGACATAGTGAGTTGAGAAAAACAATCATATGCCGATTTGGGAAGACTCCCTCTGCCGCTGTGAGTTTAGTACAGGGACTAGAGAGGAAAAATCTGCCTCTTTCGGGTGTGTGAGGGGAGGCGAACGAGCCATTAAAAAATTGGCTTTTGGGTTGGTAAAGATTCTCTGGGAGCGTAGGCCTCTGACAACCCTCTCCACCATAACCCCCTCCAACGTTTTTCGAAAGTCTAGCGTTGGGGAGCTTTTGGAGGTATCTTTATTTATGTATTCATCTCTTCAAACGTTGTTCCACACGGGGGCTGTGGTCCCATTGGGATTGCCAAGACAGATTCAACGAGATTAGCCTCACATATCGATTTTTTTTCTCCAAGAAATGAACAGAAGACATGCATCACTATACCAGGCAAGATATGGGACGGAGGGGTACCCCCTTTACATGTCAAATCCCTATACACACTTTAGGCTATTGTTACCTAACACATCCCCCCTAGAAGTCTGTAAAAAATTCCTGAGATTCCGATCAAACAATGACCAACATAAAGGTGGGGGGGTTCTCTCCGCCCCATATCTTGCTTCAAATGTGCACCTCCAGATGAGTCAAATGCATGTGGTAATTAAGAATGTCACACACGTACATGACACTGACCGGTCAAGGTGCGCCAAGTTGAATGCCTGTATCGGTTGTTATGTTTATGCAGTTGAATATTCATTTATAATTGGAATATGTCTGCAAATGAATTTGATAGCAATGTACACTAGTAAACTCACCTCAACGTGTAGTTGTAATCTTCTCTTCAAAGAAGAAATACCAGTGCTCCAAAGTTCAGTGTAGGCTGAAGGTAATTTCAAGGAAAACAACACGATTGTCTACTCCGGTAAAGGGTTTCAGAAGAAGAACAAACATTCAGGATTTTAATTTAGCGTCATTTTATTGTTGGCGTATTCCGTCAGTGTGTATTGTGGGACTCCATTGTTACTTACCAACTGCCTCAAAAGTGTTAACGCCGTGTCTAAACCTGCTATAATGGTTTTTAGAGAAACGCTTATATTGACATTATCTAGCATGTTACGATTAAACGGAAGGAGCTTTGCAGAAGAGTATTATCAGTTAAGGTTTCCTGAAGTCACACATTAATAGTATGAGAGTTATTGCACTTGTTTTTTTCCAGTATTTACCTGGATGGTGATGTGCTTACAGTCAGTTCTCGTGTTGTCGACCAACGCTGACAGTGTGCTGGTATTGGTTGTGCGGAGGGAAGCGGTGGTGCGTTTGGTTTTTTCTCCGTCTCTTTTCTTTTTTTTTTACTCGTTTGTCGGTTTCCAGGGCCATGGTGGGGAATCTGCGGACGGTTATGATTGGCCGCTGCGCGCTGTCAATCACAAGCGTCACCGACTCTCTGAATTCAGTGGAGGTTATGCTGGTAGGCCTTATATTGTTTTGTTATCCAACAAGTGCTCCGGCATATTGCCAGGTTCCGCAGTAGCCGCTCAGGAAATCTACAAAAAGCCAGTTCATAATTATCGCATGTAAGTTGCACCGGGAAGTAGGGCAGGGGTCATTTGTACATAAAACGAGTCGCGTCACCGTGCGTCCTGAGTGGGCGCCCTTCTGTGGCATTCGTTTGTGTAGTGAAAGTTAATTGCGCGCGATTCAGCTAGTTTTGCGTCTGTCCGCGTCTGTTGTCCAGAGTTGTTTGGTTACAAACCATCATTTTGGGGTGTAGGATAATGGAACACGTGCGTAATTAAAAGCGTGAAACCGATTTGACAGAGTTGCCAGTGCAGTGCAGTGTAAAAAATTGTCATGAAGGATTGGCTTGCTGACAGTTAGTCTTCCCCTCGTGACGTGTGCCAATCATCATTGGACAACAAATTGAGAGTGAGGGTAACACCATAAAACCCGTTCATACACATCTGGACATAGTCAATGCTTCATTAATGATCACGTTTTTTTAATCTTTAGGCCTAAATATAGAATGCTTGGATTATATTCGGTACACTAAAAGTTTTTTCAACATTTTGGAATCACTGGGCAGGTGAAAAATGAAACTGCGTTGAGAAATATGCAAAGTTGACTGGTGTCCTGTCCTTTTTTTTATACACAAGTTCATAGGTAGGCCTACATGTACAGTACATTCTGCGCAGATGCACGCATCACGTTACTTAAGGCATTTTCCCACGTATGCTCACCCCTCCACTTAGTTTGTGCGCATGCGCTAAAATTTGGCAACGTCTTGGTCACTTTCTGTTGCTTGTTAAAATGGCGACGCCAGCCAGCAAACTTCAATACCAAATCCATCTTTGGAGATTTTCCGTATTGTGTAAACATTTGCTGAATTTATACCAGAGAAATATAATCAGGCTTCTACGGAAGCCAACGGAAGCCCGTTAGGGCCACGTGTCTTTCTCTTTCACGGCGGTGTGTTTCTCTTTCGTTGTTGCCAGTAACTCGCGGCCGCCACTTAGTTATGCGCCGTGTCACCGTGATGTCTTTGTTGTAACACCAGTGTTACATACACACAGGGGAAGCCTCGAAATGCAGCTGATCGAACGCTGCAGGGTATTCGCCATGGCTTTCCTGGAAAAAAGTCAAGTCCCCGCCATGTTCCATCATGTCCATGCACAAACAGTCCATCCGTGACTTCTTACACTCGATCAACCTCCAAAGACCTGCTCGCCAGCTGGGGTAGTGGTGGCTGACACCAGAGAAGGCACGAAGATCACGTGATAGCTAAACGAACGCTCTGTGTAACTTTGACTTGCATGTGAAAGCTAATCGAGCGCACCCTATTTGGGATGTTTAAATTAGCCCTTTAGTCAGTGCGTTTACGGGCGACGCAGATTTGAGTGCATAACGTGCATGCAGGAGAATACAGGAGCGCGAGTGTGTAGCTTTTGAAATACGCGTGCGATTGACTTTACATTGATGTGCATGTATATTTACTCTGAATGGCCAGTCAGCGTCATTTTAAAATTCTACACGACCAGGGGCTAGTGAAGTAACGCTCATGCATCCCATGGAATCGAGGTCAGGATCCGTGATTTCTATTTATTATAGAGATCAGTGGTTGGGATCTTCCGTAACGTCTGCATTTACACGTCTGCGTTTATGGGTGCAGTCCACTAATCCAAGCCCCATTGAAAACAGTGTAACGTCAGCACTAACATCCTTGAGATTTCAGAAACTCAAATGAAGTTATTGTCTCGTCCCTAATCTTTCAATTTCTTATCATTTTTTGTGGGTTAACAAATTACATTTTTAATTATTCCCACAAAACAATCCCCCACGAAAAAAGATTTTTCAGAAGTCCGATTGCAGCCATTTTTCAAGTGGCAACCCTAAACTTTCTCGGCACTTACGACCATTTTTCAACAATAGTTTTTAGCCATTCTGCTCTCACATGAAAGCTCAAAGACCGAAGGAGTTTATCCTGGCAACGATTTACACAATCTCACCATTTGGGGGGCCAAACAATCTCCTTTTCAAAAGATACTGTGGGGGCACTTTTAATGCTAATGAGCTGGCTAGAAATTCTCACTTGAATTAGTGGTCTGCACCCTCATGCTTTGAATATGATTTGGCTTCGCGCCCTCTTGTGTCCTCTTATTACTGTGAGTTGAGAATCCTCGATTTGGCGGATTTGCCAACACATTTGCACGTGGGGAATCAGCCAAATAGGTAGCAGCCAATCGAATTGCATAATTTTAAAGATAGGTTTGTACTTTTCATAATAAAAAAAAATTGACATCTCTTTTTTTGCATTGATAGAATTCATTCATTATTCGTTGGCATAGTAGGAATAATTCGTGTATTTAAACTTCAAAAAAGAAAACTTTTTCATTTGTATTGTGTGCGTAATCTGAATTTTGAAATTTCTTCAAAGAACCGGATTTTTTTTATCGTTCCTTTTTCAATATAATGAGCAAGTCTAAAATCTGACTACTTTGATTGGTCGAAATTCTGTGAACATTATGCATGATCATGTTGTTCATATGCAGTTACTAACAACTACATATCATGGTGGGGTTCTGATTGGCTGATCATCAAGTTGTGGACATTACGACACAGACTGTATAGTGACCCACGTTGTACAATCTGTGACGTTGACGCCGGTATCACAAAAAGGCTATCAAATGAGGGCGCCTTAAAAGAAGTGTTGCGAACGGCCGAGAGCGACCTGTGACCCTGTGTACAGGGAAGGGGTGGCTGACTTGGGAAGAGCAATGTAATTGCGACTTAATTGAGGTCTACTATCGTGGAAAACGTCAACCACACAAGAACACCTATTTTGGAAATGTTGGAAATCCAGAGGCCCGAATCCGAGCTCTAATTTCCCTGATTATCAGAACCCATGTACGGTCCGTTCTGGGGTACACAGTCTGCAGACGTGGATGCTCAACCTGTATCCTGTTTCCCAGACGAGAGTTGTCATTGATAAGTAAGCATGTCACCACTATATCAAAGCTCAATTACATTTGGCCAGAACGGTGTATTAATTACGATATCAAACTGCTGTGACTCCGGGATTCTTTTAAGAGAGAGAACTGTACCGTCCAAAGAAATTAGACCTTTAGTCTGGTCCCACTGTTGTAACTCAAATACTTTTATTTACACTTTTAATTATGTGGAGTAAGTTTTTTTTTATTACAATCGTCTGATTCGTTCGAATCTGAATTGAAATCAGAAGAATTTCATTCAACAGTCTAATACATTAAAAGAACGAACATACAAAACTATTACTTTGGGGGGGGGGGTAAATTGGCCAGTGATTAGAAAATCTAAGTCTCTATCTGGATTCCTGCATCTTTTTGACTTTGCCTCAACTTCCGGATTTTGTCGGGTGCTTGATGTAACCTTGTACCTTGTCTTGGGCAGCCCCCGTTATCTGGTTACAAGGCAATGTCCTCGGCAGTGGTGGGTCTGAGCCCTTACGTCTTACTGTCTCTGGCTCACCCCAGTAGATGGGTGGAAAGTGGAGGAGTTAGGGCCATCTAAATAATAAGTGATAACACACATAATCAAAAACCAGTTTTCAACCCACCCATCGAACCTTCTAAACGTTTACCCAAAACAAATTGTACAGCATTACGTAAATTCTACGTCACTTCTTGGTGAAATTCGGCCAATCAATCTGTAGACATTATTTTGAAGCTAGTCGATACGTGACATAGAAAAGAACTGACATTTATATGTATTTTACAAAGCGGTTATCGGACTCTATCGTAGCTTGAAGTGGTTACAGGTTGAGTGCTGCTGTACAGAGGGTACAACCTCGGCTGGAGAATTTCGGCACTGTAAAATTCTGCTGAGCTGATTAAAGTCGGCGATCATCAAATGATCACAAGGAACTTGCAGACTCAGCTGAACCCTGGTCGCAGTCAGTATTCACCTCAACCTTTCCAAAATTCTCTCACTCACATTCTCCCTGACCGTTTCCTGTCGATTCGACTACCACCCTCATTTTTTCTTTTTCCTCCACGAAAACCCAAAGGCGCATTTTATACCGATAACCATGGCCCGGACAATACCGAAATTATATAACTCAACCTCCTTTGACAATACTGGACGATGTGGAGCGTAAACTATGATCTCGACATCCAGAACTCCGATTAGTTGTGACGCGTCTACGCGGGATAAACGATGATTGGGTAAAACTTTGTCACGTCATTCGCGGAGAGTACACTACCGGTATACAATACAATGTAAACGTACAGCAAATCCAGCTGTGTTCGCTGGAACGCGAACGCTGGAACGAGAATGTTACAAAGCACTACACAGTTGAACAAGAAATCATATGGCACTGTCTTCGATTGTGGACGGCAAGCCTGAGAAGATTACAAAAACTTAAGTTATATTGAATTATTTTTTACCAAACAGAAGTACGTTCTCAGGACACAAGATACACTTGGCTGTTAACTCTATCTGCCTGACCGCCCGCCCGTCGATCGGTCTGTGCAGTGTGTTCAGTCATGCATGACAGGAGGGATACCATCAAGGTATCATTAGAAAGAATACTGCTTCTTCTTTTCGGAGATTCTTATACATAATAACCATATCTCATGGTTTGGGCATATTGACCCCTTTCCTCAGGGTTTGGTTTTTTCTGGGACACCCTGTACACCACAAGCTACAGTCAGTCATGGCATCGACCATAGGGCGTTCCTGAGTGCCTGGACAGTGCATTGGCGAATCGATCTGGAGACCAATTTTGGCCCAGAAAATGCATTTTTCCCATGGCTTCGAGCAGTGATAGAGGTTTCCAAATTACCTTCAAGTTGTGTTTCCTCTTCAGCAATGCAACGCCGAGAATTTGTCGAATGAACACCGCATCATCGTGCAGTGACCACAGTCACTGCGCGACCAAAACGTACGTAGGCCTACCGGCACGTGTGCACATGCACGATTGACTGGACTGTTCGCTCTTTACACGTAGCCACCTATGTCGGTCGGTAGATAGAAAAGGACACGTAGGCATATTGTGCTCGGGACGCACAAAGTACGTACTATACACTGAGCATAATATGCCTATGACGCATGTCGTTCAATGTGTCCTCCTTTTCCGTCTGCCATCTAGCCCCCCCCCCACTTTCAGGCCCATTTGTCAATGGGATTTTCTCAGCTGTGCCCTCAGATTAGATGGGGGCCAAAGAAGCCAGGGGGTGACCTGGGTCATGTTTTCCACCATCCTACACTTTCATTGGCCAAATTAACTCCTTTATGCTCCCAGCCTGACGGAAAATGAATGCCATCTGATTGTATTATGATTATTAAAAATGTCGCGCCACTTTGAGGTGTGCTTTGAGAGCCGCAGTCACGTGACCAGTCCAGGCCCCCATACCGTCTAGTCCCTAGCCAAAGGGGTCTGGTATCCAGACAACCCCTTATTGATCTTCATAATAAATCAGTGGGGCCCCAGCAGGGAGGTCAGACAGAGATCAGAAAGGTGGACTGGCAGACCCCTATCAGAAAAAGTGGGGGAGTGTACCCCAAAAAATAAATTCCCAAAGACACCAATAATAAATCCTTATATTCCAAAATTATTTTTTAAAAATACAACTTTCACAAGTACCAGGCTGGACAGAAGAATGATGTTCAACATGTCCTCTTTCATTTTCCTTTCAATTTTTAATGGGTTGACCAATAAATTTTTGACAAATTCTCACCCAAAGCAGACCACCCCTAAAACGAAGGAAATTTCACTTCCCATTTTGAAAATGTATCCCTCTGAAAAAGGGCAAAATAGTGCCACTTTCGGGTCGATTGGCACTGCATCCAAATTGCGATCTTTGGAAAAAAATATACAATTTCCCATTTCTCGAAAATGGCAGCATTCCTGGCGGTAAGATTCACAGATTGTCAGACATAATTATGTGCTTATCTTAAACTTTGAATTTTCAAGATTATTCGACAGTCCCGTTTTCGAGACCTAGCAAATCCATACACAGTCTTTACAAAAATTATTTTTCGATTTCAAACAGAAAGTTAATGACATGGGTAATGCCGTCATGCCATCCAAGCAACTCTACGATTCTGTGATTAAATTTTGGTGTGACTTCTACGCCTATTTGTTTTCCCCGTTAACGACTGAAAAGAAAGTGCGCCCTCCGACCAAATTGCAATATCAATTACGCCCAGCCTTCCAGATCGACCAAAGTTCAGAGTGGGCCAATTAATAGATCACGCATGGACACAGCGCGGGCATCATCTCTTAACACTGCACATTGTGCCATTGCGGGATTTTCCAAGCTGCACAGACATATTGTACAACATACTGGCACTCCTCCTGTTGTCTTGGATGTTGTATTAAGGTTCTGGTACTTGAAAAAGGCATTATGCTTTTGATTTTGCCGCAGCCTTCACTGCCCGATTCATGAAATTGTTGAAATCAGAGGGCTTCGGCTTTTCATCATCATACTTGACACAAATGCGACACAATTCAGCTTCAACACGATAGAGGTTGACTAGTTTGTCCATGTTGCAGGGCGTCTTTTCAGCCATCGAGGGATTCAGTAATTAAAGCATTGTGTTGGTTTCTTTGAAGTAGCGTCATTCAAAAGGGGTATACTAGGAATGCGGCCGTCTACAAGTAACACTATCTTTTAGAATTTTGATTTTTTTGAAGTGTTTTTGCACTCCTTCAAATCGTCTCACAGTTCACATCTCGAGTTCAGGACAATGACAGCAGGTGCTTCTCAGTAGTTTTTCATCCCCCATCATAATGCGTATACAAGAGAAAACTCATATGACAATTTGAAAATAGTCGCCTTTGTGTATTCGTCAGCGGCATCGGACAACTTGAAGACGCAAATGCATTGGATTTTGTGGTTGAGACTGAGGAAGAAATGATGGACTGAAATTGTTTTGCGCCGAATTTTGCCAGTACAAGAAAGCTTAGCAGCCTTCTGGCCGAGTCCCTTCCTGTTCTGGTGAACTCTGAGGTAGGATTTACATTCTTTAATTACAATGAAATTGTGTTTATTATCTCACTTTCCCATAAATTTAAGTGAAAAATGTGTAATGCCAAATGCACTTTACAAGTAACGCATACCAATGAATAAAATTGAAGAGCCTAGAGGGTAGAATTTGACGTTTCTTCCTATATCTCCGTAATGAATTTTTTCTCGAGCTAGGCCTTTTGAGTTTTTAAGGTAACATTTTGCGATCATTTTGAAACCCATTTAGTAAAAAATCAGACAAACAAATCTCTCGCTCCCCCATTTTCCCCTGCCGTGTTCACTGCAAGCGTGTGGCACTTGTGTCGTAACCGTTAACTTCAAATGAGGGTAATAAAACCGTACGCCTTATTAAATTGAAACTTCACACTTATACTGAAAAGTATTATTTGTTTGTTTACATGCATGTATGATTTTTTTAAAAATCAGACATGGAACAGCCGAGTTTTAAGGAGGCTTAATCCGGTCCCCTGGCTGTGATATGTTCCACAATAACCCAGCTTCTGTTAAATTCAATTTCATGTGAATATTTTGGATGACTCATGACAGTAAGTATGGAGCATCATTGTTGTTGGGGTATTGCAAATTCGACGATAAGTTGTACTACATAAATTGGTCGTATTCTGGGCATATCTAGGCCTTTTGCAATGGGATACAGCCAGTAAACTGACGAATTATTTTATGTTTTTAATTTTTCCTGGTTTTTTATTTTTATTTATACTGTTTCCACCTTCCTCAATCATCATTCTGTTGGCGTGCCAGATATCTCGACATATTTGTGTATGTATGGAGCGTAAAATGTAGACATCCCCATTTTCTCATTTTTCTGCTAGTAGATTTTCGGGGTTTTGGACTTTGCGTATAGCATTTTCAAAAAACGAAAATTTCTACTAGCAGAAATTTGCATTTTACTTTACCAATTTTCGTGGCGCGTCAAAAGTGGACAACTAAAATCTTCAAATTCCCACTGACAAAATTACTGTCATGCTCCTGAAGTGGACAACTCCATCTTCTCATTTTGTGCTGGTAGATTTTCGGGTTTTTTGAAGTTGCACCATTCCTTAAAAAAAACAAGTTTTTTGCTAGCAGAAATTGGGATTTTACTTTGACGACGACGGGGTGGTCCAAAAGTGGACAAGTTGAAAACTGAAACGACCAAAGTGCTCGCTACGCTCAGAATGGAACGGACTTGAAAGAGTGGCAGTCTACATTAAAGGTAGAGGGTCAATGGTCTGACGGATGGCGTCGCAGTTCGGACAAAAATGTGGTCGATACCCATTGAGAAACTTGCAAATACGAAAGGGGCCGTCCAAAGCCTGACAGTCCTTTGTGGTATATTGCAAACTTACGACTTGCCAGCGCGCCTTGTAATTAGAATGACGTTGGCGGCTTTCCGTAGGGAGCTTCCATTTCAAATAAATGAGCGCATGGTGATGTGTCCCCTAAACGATGCCAGCTGTGATAAATCATTGTATCTATGTCCAATAGTATAATTAAATTTGCTGTGGAACGATACAAGGTTGGAATTGAAAAAGCCATGTCAAGGGAAGGAGCTGAGTGCTGTTTAATCAAGTGAACCGAGATTTTCAAAAAGGGGAAAATAGAGAAAGTAAAAATGGGAAACACTAAAATGTAACTTGAACTTGCTGAATTACATCCCACAAATTCCAAAACACGTATTCAGCCGATAATTTCAATTACAAAAAGGATAGCCACGACGAAAATAAATCTTTCAGCCAGTACACCAGTCGGTCACTGATATGACACCAAAGATTTAATTTAATATTTATCGTTCAAATCTTTGGTCGAGTCATCAAATACAAGTAGGCAGTTATAGTGGAGGCCTGGATCATTACTATTAAGACAAATGATTCAAAGTGACAATGTGAAGAGATATTAACGCAATGAAAACACGAACTTGCAAGTAAGGCCCAGAGCAGTCATCATATGCATATACTGTAAAATACATGGATGGTGGATTGAATAACAAATCTTATATCTGAAGATCAAAAAATTGGTTGTTCACTTTTGCCACTCCCAGTAACTTCCACCATAATCAATCCATAAATTTTATCAATTTTGGACATATTATTTTCAAAACTTCCCTTTAGAATAATACTCCCCTCTAAACTCCCATAAAATTCACATCCTTGACGTAAAAAAAGGACTAATCTTTTCCACGAAATCGGCTATATAGAGATGGAAATACAAGTTGCATGAAAAAGGCCAATTACAGCAAGGGAATGTGCAAATGACACCTGATGCCTGTGATGAACGGCGGGTCAATACAATGGGCTGGCTCCGCAAGTTTGCGGTACTACTACCATCGTTGTTCAGCACCTGGTACGGTACTAACATCCCACCAGGTGCTAAACTCCTCCGCAGAGAGTGGGTCACATTGAACTGCCTACGCACCGGAGTCGGCCGTCTCAGCGCGAATATGCACCGTCGCGCTGGGGACTTCGGCCTGCAGCAGCTTGTCCGTATGGCACACCTGAACAGACTTCACATCACATCCTGTTCGAGTGCACAAATTCAAGCCCCCAGTCAAACTGATCTCAACAATCCAAGCCAAGAGACCATTGACAGGCTGCGGCAACTTTGTCACGTGGTGTAGCAGCAAATATCTCATACGAAAGAAGAAGATGTTTGTAACCCACAAATATACTCATTCGTAGCGGCGCAGCCACCTTGATTCATATGATTCAAAATTTATCCATGACTTTCTGGTTTGGTCCTTTGCGAAAAGGGGAGCCCCCTTAATTAAGTCTGATACTTGATATCAAGAGACAGGAGATAGCTATAAAATCATGCCACTTGGTCACAGAAATTCCGAACCCGGGCGGCTGTATAGTGGTTTTGTATATTGAATAAACTGTCGCAACAACTTTATTTCTTTCAGTTACAGTATAACCAGCACGGAGGAGAGGATTATTCACTAAGTCGCCAAATTTGTCCGACAGTGTGCCTAAAGACATCTAGTCCTATAGTTTCCATTTTGAAATCAACCTGAAATTTAGATTTCAGGTTGCACTCAATAAAAATTGAGTGCGCTGCCAAAAGCAGTCTCCAAACGTTTCATCCGATTCGAGGAAGTACTCGTTCAATTCGATTTAACGAGTACAAGAAGCACTTATTTTCGTGACAGTTTTTTTTAAGTTAGTACTTGTTCACATTCGCAGAAGAAAGTGTCAGATGTATTCGGGAATTTAAGGCGCTCTCAGGAATGTAGGCCTAATGTAGGATTAAAAGACTGACTGGTAACTATTCCTTTGTACACGCTTGAAGGCTGGAATCGTGATGACCACAGGACTCTGAAATCGAAGGACATAAATCAACGCAAGCAAAGTTATTATTAAAAAGGAAGTGCATTGGAAAGAAAATGCAGCAGAGATGATTTATGAGGGAAAAGACACGTCAAAAATTAACATTAAGCACATTGCAGTGAGTCTATTTTCTTGTTTAAAGCATTAATAAAACTGTTATTTTAAAGAATTCGGAATAATTTTAAAACAAATGATCAGGATTTTAAAACATGCTTATTGCGATATAGGCATATCTATACAAAATATTAGGCGTGGACTAGAAATAAAGTGGTTTTTTTTTTACTGTGGAAAACATTAAAAGAAACATACCATAAGAAAAGTTAAAGTTGATGCTAGTCTTCATGACTATCATACTCACAGTAGTTGAAATTGAGATCTTGGAATTTTAAATTGAAAGCCTGTTGACTAACCCAACGAAACGGGTAACTGTGGTGATACCACATTCGCAAAAATTGTCCAACTTGACGACCATCGTGCACTTGGCAAGTCATAACACCCCTGTTGGTCGAATGGGCATGAAACGCACGAATCACCAGACCACGTGCAGTATCGACTTTCACGCCTGCTGCTTAATCAGTCGAATTGGAAACTGCTCGTTAGTCACTATTCTCACGCGAACACTGCAAAATCGATTGTTGTTTGCAAATAAGATCGAGAATTCAAGTACGTTTTGCTATTGAACAATGTTTTAATTAAAGGGCCCGTGAAATGTGTTTTTTATTGGTTTTAATGGAAGATAATGTTTAAAAAGATTTCCTGTCGGTAAAAAATATCGCCTCAATTATATAGTATGAAAAAAAGTTATAAAGAGTTTTTGCGAAGGGGCTCCACCCCAAGGGAAGCACTTTATTAGCATAGACAATTTGCATAATTGTGACGTACGTTTGGGAACCTACATCGGCCAGCGGCGCCGGCGCTAGTACTGTGTGTATGTATACCACTGCAGTAAACTGTGATTTCGAGATCACCAAAAGTTTGCTACGGTACTGGTCATGTGTGGATAATTAACCAGGTGCGTTGCTGCAGCACGTATGTTCATACCCCTCACTTGGTGTGTGCGCATGCGCAATGAATCCCACTACAGCGCCAAAAGCCAGTAAAATGGATCCTGACTCTGGCAGGTGGACCCCAAAAGTAATCTATCAACATCAAACTCAGATAAAGTTGTTTGCCCCTCATTTCCATACCGATTAGAATTTAATCACTCAAAGTCCCTTTTGCTAACTTGCACACTATAAAAAAATCCATTTTCTGCCAAATTTGTGTCCGTATTTGTCACGTGCCACCAAAGTAACAGAGTCAGAAGGTGGAAGGGAATCCAACATTTTAGAGTGGATTTTTTTTCAGTTTTGCCGGGTTTTCTCTGACATTTCTCTACTTGTAAGCGGTGAGTTATTTTATGAACACTCTGCGAAGCAAACCGTATGGACGGGAACTGAAATTTTTGTTTGTGCCTTTTGGTCGAGCATTTTGACGTGATTGTACGTATTCGTGCAGTGCAGTAGGTCAACTCGTACCCAAACGCACTCGTATCCAGGTTTGTGTACGTTTGCAGCATGCCCAAAATCCGGACATCTCCGTTTTCACCACTGCCAAACTATAAGTGGGGAAATTTGAATACGCATGAAAATGAACGGCATTAAGACAAATCGCTCTCGA